TGATGATGACTTTTCACGTCTTCCTGTCCTTTGTTGATTTAAGTAACCTTTGACGTTTTATCCTCCTTCTTTGTACTTGTTATACCATTCATCCAGATAATCTCGTTATATAGTTTACTCGCTGTTTCCCCTTGCTTCTCTAGCGTTCAGTATACACTGTATGCATTAAAGTCTCTAAGCGCACTTTCTACATTATATATAACAACGATATCAACTGTCGTTTTCTAATTGTAAATATAACTTTTCTTGTTGCTCCAATTTTCCGGGAGACTTCCTCGTTTCTCACATGTTCTGATACTCTTAGTGTTCGTGACCTGGCATCTCGGCTTCACACATTTCTGTATCTTGAAGTTAGTACCTCTTCTCCAGGCAGCACCACTTCTTCGAGAAGAGATTAGGGTGATTATATGGATCATGAGGCGTTTCCAAAACGGAAAGGGGTGTAGGCTTCAGCAATCTCTATCCTTATACACGAAGGCTTCCACTTTGAACGTGGCCTTGTATTCCATTCGGCCCAGGTGGGTATGCTAATAAGTCTCTCCATTAGCAGAGAGGAACCCGGACGAAGCTTTGCCGAAGGGCAAGGTTTCGTTCGGGGAGGTTATGACAGCTCTCGGACTTGCCTAGTTGAGTCGAAGGCTATATTTTTGGCCGGGCCTACGGGCTCGGGTGAGCACGTAAAACTCGGGCTTGTGCCACATGCGACCCCTCGTTTGGGGGGACAGCTAAATATCTAACTGTACCAAACTTACAGCAACCACCGTCTGTCAAACTCTCTGCATTAGCAGAGAGGAACCCGACGAATCTTTTGCCGAAGGGCAAGGTTTCGTTCGGGGAGGTTATGATAGTTTCCGAACCCGCCTAGGCGGGTCGAAGGTTATATTTTGGCCGGGCCTACGGGCTTGGGTGAACACGTAAAACTCGGCCATGTGCCACATGTGACCCCTCGTGGGTGGGGACAGCTAAATATAGCTGTCATATAAGAGAATGGATATTACTTACAGAGATACTGTTATGATTCCCAACACTATTTATTACGATTCAATCCTGAATATACTTTCTACAAGACTGAAAAAAGTCCATGAAGTTTTTCCCGTCGTTTCGGAAGAAGGAAATAGTGATACGCAAATCAGTTCTCTTGACCAATGCAGGTCGAAGCAGCTCGTTCAGGGTTTTCTGCTTTATGAGTTTAATGTAGGCTTGTCCACAGTCGTATCAAGTCGCCAATTACTTCAAGCCTTTTGGATAACGCAGAGTGGTTCCAGGAGTTCAAGTCAGGAGGTCTGCACATTTGTGATAAACCCTATAGTGAGCGACTTTATTATTTCATTTGCCAGACTCGACTACAATTCACGGCGCTTTCAATTTTTACTGCTGCTGCTGTTGAAGCTTTCCTGTCAGTTCTCTTTCTTTATTATTTAATAGTCCCTATGTTTTATTTATGTCTTGTGTTTGATAACTTTGTTTGATTTTTTAAATGATGACCTGGCGATATATTTTAACTTATTCGATTTATTTGAAATATTGTACTCATCATTATTACAGACCTTATATTGGCATAATGTTTCGGACAACTCCCATCAAGGCTTCTTCAGGTGTCTATGGTATATCGCATATATGCTGATTCAATGTATTCGAACTTTTTTCTCATCTATGATCGTTATAATATTATTATAGACACGACGTTTCTGACACGAACCCTCCGGCTATCTTCAGATATCTGCTATTTTGTCTGGAATGGAATTAATTGTCACCTGTATACAACCGTTTTCTCACCTCAATGATTAAGATTGGCTTAGACCGAATAGAAACCATAGCTCTTAGAGATGACCATCATTCACTGAATCTCTTGAACTGACGCTACACACTCACAAAGAACGTTGCCAAATAGCAGAAACAACATAAGTTGACGACCTTCAGGGGCAATTCGAAAAGAGGATAATAACCTAATCAATATGTTGACTTTCCACACTCCTTTGTTTAAAGTCGTCAAATCTAAAATGATTTCAGGCTATAAATAGCCTGCAAAAGGTCGATAAACCGCAAAGAAACTAAGCAATTAATCAAGTATCATGATTCAAAATTCTCCTCAGCGAATTGCATAACCCTGTCGTTATGATCTTTAGCTTTGAAAATGTTCTCCCACATTGGATTTGAGTAACTGATAGTGTTCAGATAATTTATAAAGTTCTTCTTTTTTTATTACTAAAACAGTTGTTTATATTTACTTTTTATCTGATATAGGGAGTTCATGCTGTCAGGAACCCGCATCCTGGGTATAATGATAAAATACATCCGCGTCCTGGGTAAGATGATAAACTACGTCCGGTAGCAAGGTCTCTGTTCAGGAGGTTTGGAGGAGCGTGGAACGACCTCTTAAATTGCTGGTGTTTCCAGGTCCACCCTGATCCGAGGTGGTAGTACCTGTAAAGGTCCCAACTATGGGCAAATAGTTAACCCCAAACTGGGATTAAAACACGACGAAAGTGTTAAAGTAGGTTGCAGCGGCAAATCGAAGAAAGCATTATAACATAATCAATATGATGACTTTATAAAGTTCTTATTCCTTTTTTTATTTCTGAAACAGTTGTCTATGCTTGTGTCTTTATTGCATTTTTATTTGGTATAGCGGGACAGCTTCATCAGAGGTCCACTTGCTATCGGGCAAGCTGACACCCTGACCAGTCTACCATTGACCAGAAAAGTATTTTAATTGAAAACTATAGTCAGTGACTTCGAAAAGTAAAATACTTTATGCACTGGGCCAGATATTCTTGATGACGTTGGTTAAATCCAGGGACTGACAACCTGGCCAGTCCGCCAATGATAAAGTATAGATATAGATAGATAGATAGATAGATAGATAGATAATGAACAGAATCAAATAGATATATAGATATATAGATAGAAAGAAAATGAACAAAATCAAATAGATAGATAGAAAGAAAATGAACAGAATTAAATAGATAGATAGATAGGTAGATAATGAACAGAATTAAATAGATAGATAGATAGAAAATGAACAGAATTAGATAGATAGATAGATAGATAGATAGATAGATAGATAGGTGTGTGTGTGTGTGTGTGTGTGTGTGTGTGTGTGTGTGTGTGTGTGTATTCATTGACCAGAAAAGTATTTTACTTGTAAACTGTCGTCAGGGACTTCGAAAAGTAAAATACTTTATGCACTGGGCCAGATATTCTTGATGACGTTGGTTAAATCCAGGACTGACAACCTGGCCAGTCCGCCAATGATAAAGTATAGATAGATAGATAGATAGATAGATAGATAGATAGATAGATAATAATGACAGAATCAAATAGATATATAGATATATAGATAGAAAGAAAATGAATAAAATCAAATAGATAGATAGAAAAAAAATGAAAGAATTAAATAGATAGATAGATAGGAATAATGAACAGAATTAGATAGATAGATAGAAAATGAACAGAATTAGATAGATAGATAGATAGGTGTGTGTGTGTGTGTGTGTGTGTGTGTGTGTGTGTGTGTGTGTGTGTGTGTGTGTATTCATTGACCAGAAAAGTATTTTACTTGAAAACTATTGTCAGTGACTTCGAAAAGTAAAATACTTTATGCACTGGGCCAGATATTCTTGATGACGTTGGTTAGATCCAGGGACTAGACCCAAAGTGTTGTGAGTTCAATACCAGGCTACAGCAGTAGTGAACCAAAAACTTGGAGAGTTGAGTTAAAGGGAAATAGCTGACATCCGGAAGAGACATGGCACGTGGAACTAGAACAATCTACCCCGGTGGACAAAATAAAGAGTTCGGTTCGAAATTCCGATCACCTGAAGAAGGCCGGTGCTTAGAACTGCCAAAACGTAGTGAATATGACATTGAAGTAATTGGTTGATATTTTTAAATAGCTTACTGCCCAATTTACATATTAACAGATAGTTTAAAAGCAAAATAGAGCTTTGCTGCAGTCCGCCATCTTAAGAGCAATCGTTTGTGTTCCCTAGATGATTGCCTGAATCTGCCAATAAATGCTTCTGCATCCAATTCATCTAGCAATTCCTTTTCAATAGATAGCAACATGTATGATTGCAAATTCAGGCAGCGAATTTCTTAAGCTCGTCTTTAGCTTTAAAAATATCCACTCACATTAGACTTGAGTAACTGATTGTCGTTATGATCTTTCGCTTTGAAAATATCTTCTCACATTGCACTTGAATCACTAATAGTGTGCAGACGACTTTTGTTCTTATCCTTTTTTTATCACCAAAACAGTCGTCTATATTTGCTTTTTATCTGATATAGGGAGTTCATGGCACCAGGAACCCCCGTCCTGGGTATGAAGATAAAATACATCCGCGTCCTGGGTAAGATGATAAACTACGCCCGACAGCAAGGTCTCTGTTCAGGAGGTTCTGAGGAGCGTGGAACCACCTCTTAATTGCTGGTGTTCTAAGGTCCACCCTGACCCTGGTTGGTAGCAAATGTAAAGGTCCCAACTATGGGCAAATAGTTAACACCCAAACTGGGATTAAAAAACTATGAAAGTGAAAAAATAGGTTTTAATACCGGCAAGAAATCTTTTGAGGAAAAGTTATTACCAGCAATAGATTTTTGAAGGAAAAAACATGTGGCCAGCAATTTATTTTTGAAGAAAAAAAATATTCCCAGCAATGAGAATCTTGTTTGATTTAAATAATTCATTGGGGTTGATATGCCTTAAAACAAAAACAAAAAAAAACAAACAAACGAAACCATCAGGAAACCTTTTGACATCGAGAAAAGTTGACAACCTGGCCAGTCCGCCAATGATAAAGTATAGATAGATAGATAGATAGATAGATAGATAGATAGAAAATGAACAGAATCAAATAGATAGATAGATAGATAGATAGATAGATAGATAGATAGATAGATAGATAGATAGAAATAAAATGAACAGAATTAGATAGATAGATAGATAGATAGATAGATAATGAACAGAATTAAATAGATAGATAGAAAAATGAACAGAATTAGATAGATAGATAGATAGATAGATAGAAAATGAACAGAATTAAATAGATAGATAGATAGATAGATAGATAGATAGATAGATAGATAGTAAGAAAATGAACAGAATTAAATAGATAGATAGTTGATAGAAAATGAACAGAATTAAATAGATAGATAGATAGATATATAGATAGAAAATGAACAGAATTAGATAGATAGATAGATAGATAGATAGATAGATAATGAACAGAATTAAATAGATAGATAGATAGATAGATAGATAGATAGATAGATAGAAAATTAACAGAATCAAATAGATAGATAGATAGATAGATAGATAGATAGATAGATAGAGTTGGAATAAAATTTGGAACCTTAAAAAAAGTGAAGAGTTTCTATTGTGTTTACATGTCGTATGAGCCTGGTTGTTTTAAATCAGCTTTTCGATTAAGCACTGCAAGCCCGCAGGAAGGTTTGGGGTTTTCCATATCAAAATTTTCATCTTTGAAACGAGACACTCATTTACAAGTAGTCTTCTCAGCTATAAACAGCCCATTTTATTTTCTCTTTATGCAGCGTTTTTTCCCCTCCTTTTGCGAAAATGACAAGACTTGTTTGTATTTTCATCCATTTACACTTTTCACGTAAAACATTTAAAATACACAAATCCACGCACGAATCAAATGGAAAAAAAAAGCTTCGGATTGTCAGATTGCGGAATATGTAAATTGGTGATAAATTTCTCTCATTCTTGAGAGAATATGAGAAAAATACTATTAAGGAGAAAAGATAAATAAAAAAAAAAAACAAGAATTCAAAAGACAGAAGATTACGATTGACAGTGAATGTATATTTTTAAAGATCAAAGATGGCCGTGAAGCAAGAAGCAGGAAAAATTTTTCCAAAAGCGAGAAGCGTTTTGAAAAAAACTGTTAGCATGAAAATTACGATTACATCCAGCCATTTCAACTGTAAAATTATGAAACCTTGATGCCAACCTATTAAGGCACTTAAATTCATAAAGTCTAGGTACCATAGAGGAAAGTCCATCAGAACAATTACCATGAAAATATTTATAAATATTTATAGCATAGGGAAGCTATATTATGGCGGTGAGAAAGTGACTGCAATGTGAGTACAAATAACATTGCAACCAGACCAGAGCACCAGACCAGCTGTGGTAGGAGTATTCAAAGTATTCGAATGTTAGACTTACAAATATGTAAGTTAGATTCTAGATAGAAAAACTACCTAGTACGATAACTTTCCTAGTAGCAGACCTAGTAATTGATCATACTTATTATAAAACCCAGGTTGTGAGTGTGTGTGTCTGTTCGTTTATATATTGGTTCGGATTTCCTACATTTCTCAACCGATTTCAACTAAACTTTATAGAACTACGTAAAATTACCTTGCGGTGGCTCTGACAGCACCAAAATTTGGAAAAACACAATTGTTTTGGCACGAAATCAATTTGAAAACACGATTAAGAGGCATCGCGAGAATGAAAGGGGGACAACTCATATCGAGTTATGGTTATAAAAACTCAGGTTGTTTCTTTTGTGTGTGTGTGTGTGTGTGTGTGTGTGTGTGTGTGTGTGTGTGTGTGTGTGTCGTTTATATATGGGATCGGATTTCCTACATTTTTCAACCGATTTCTACAAATCTTCACTTTTTTTGGCAGGTAGTGTTTCTTATTGCCTCGTACACTTTTTTCTTTATTTTTACATTCAGAATGCTTTAGAAATTCCATTTACAAGACAATTGTTTATAATAAAATTCTATTCAATCGATAGACTCATAACGATTGAAAACAATGTTTTTGTTTGAGTTTGGGTTTGACCAATTCGTAAAAAAAAAAAAAAAAAAAAAAACTAATTAAGACATGCGTGTCCGTCAACCATAAACAATAATCTTTATTAATGTTATTTTTCAGTCTTTATGATGGTCGATACTTGATCTATCTCTTACTGTTACGTCCCCGGACAACGCCGGGTTCTACTGCTAGTTCAATATAATCTTTCTACTTCCTGTCACTGGAGAATGTGAGCCCAAGATGGCGCAACGAATCACTAACGTGAAGGTTAGCATCAGCATGATGATGGACAGCAGAAATGGTCCTTTCCTTTGATAAATATCACTCTTGTTTTGGAGAGGTTAATATTAACAAGCCAGTTTTTGAACAAGTTAACAGCAGATTGCAGGATTTTTTTTTTTAGATCAACTGCCAGTTTGATTTGGTGTGGAAAGTTTAGATTTCTGCCAAACCATCTCCGTTCGATGACGCACAAGTTTTTAAAAAATTCGGTAACGTAAGTTTTAGTATTTTTTGACAACGTAGGAAAATTCGCTAACTATGAAATAAAAGTCGATTGAGAAATGTTTTTAAGGCCGTTCTGGAGTGGCGATTTAGGAGCTAAACCCCCCTCCCCTATATTTTTAAATAACTGAACATAGTGGTGCCGTAATAAAACTCCATTACAACAATACCGTACTTGCAGAAGGGGGGTTCATAGGAGGTTAGGTCCTCTTATCTAATATTTTTTTTAAAAAGTATTATTAACTACAGGGGTCTAGATAAAACTGCTCTACAACAATAACAGGGCCGTACTTTTTGGATGGGAGGTTATGGGGATACTCCCCCTACAATATTTTTTAAATAAGTATTTATTTAATTACTATACTCTATTGATTTCAAGCAAATAGAATGATTTGTTAAAGTTAAGTTTCTGTATCTTTTAATATAACTATTTTAATAAAAAAAATAGTAGTAAATAAATTAAGTTTTACTAAATTATTTCTTTTTAAAGAAATAAAATCTATGTGGCCTCATTTCTATTTAAAAAAGACAGAGCCCCCCAAAATCTCTACTCCAGAACGGCAACTAAAATCAATATTCAATCGACTTTTATTTCATAGTTACCGAATTTTACTACCTTTTGAAAATTATCAAATATTCTATTACCGAATTTTCCGGGCACTATGTGGCACAAATGCCCTTGGGAAGGCATGAATCCATTTCTGCTGTACACTATCAGGGATTAATCATTTTAGTCTTGATTGAAGAAAAATTGAATTTAAAACCGGTTGTCTAGAAACACCACCCTGTAAAAACCTACCTGTTACAGAAACCACTGCAGCAATGCCTCATGTAGTGATGTTATAGTCCACGGCAGTTTTTACCGTGTTTACACACACACACACACACACACACACACACACACACACACACACACACACACACACACACATATATATATATATATATATATATATATATATATATATATATATATGTGTGTGTGTGTGTGTGGAAGTGCTATATGATGATCCGGCGTCCTTTAAAAGGACTCTGGTGAAATAAATTGTTATAATGGTACCTTAAAGTGGTCTGTTTTTCTTTTAAATATTAGCTCTGGATTTACATTGAGCTCTCAGGATTTCATCCTCCTTGGGATTACCAATACGGATTACCAAGTTCTTCATAATATTATATATATATATATATATATATATATATATATATATATATATATATTTCAAATCCTATTTCATATACATATATTTCAAATCTTTCTAATATATATATATATATATATATATATATATATATAGTCATCCACAGACAGGCTGTTTCGCTGTATCAAATCTCATCAGTGTGGCTACACATCCAGATGCCTCTAGCTAGGATCGAAACCCCGAGGAATATATATATATATATATATATATATATATATATATATATATATATATATATATATATATATATTTCAAATCCTACTAATAATTTCCTTGTATATTCTTGCTTGAACTGGCTTCAAATGCTCTGATGGAGCGGCTTGGGGATAGAAGACGTAGCTGGTGAGAGCACAGTCCGTTGGGTTAAGGAAACTCGGAATTTGTGAAGAGCGGCGCTATATCGAGTCTAATTAGTTAACCCCCTGCTCGCCGAGGCCCGTTGGTACAGTTAGTATGTCACGTGCGTCGAAGTCGTAACGGTCCGGTTTCGATTTTGATCCTCTTCTAGACTTGATAAATTAATTAATTCGGATTATTGCATACCCTCCTGATAATTTTTCACTGATACACACACACACACACACACACATATATATATATATATATATATATATATATATATATATATATATATATATACACGCTCTATCTCTGATATTGAGCACTTTATCCCATAAATATGGCACACCTTAAAACTATATTTCTTCATATATATATATGTATATATATATATATATAGGCATGCCTGATTGAATAAATTACCACGGTCCGCTGGATTATATAATTTAAAATTTATGTACGATATAATTTATAAATTAATTCATAAATTATATAAGAGAACACACACACACACACACACACACATACACACACACACACACATATATATATATATATATATATATATATATTCGAGACGGAAATTAGAAGAAACACGCAATGTTTAAATATCTGGTTTGATTTCTATTCTTTAATATCGTGAAAAATTAAATGATTTAATGAAATATATGTACAACATTGAGATTTGAATGGGTAATAAGGTTTGAGGTTTAACAAGTATTACATAAGGATGACTGTACTAGGGGGTCGTATTATCCAAGGAGGTAATTTATTCCCTGTTTTTAGCTTCAGAAACACGGGTTCGTATTATGCTCAAATCGTATTATACACGTGGAAATCCGGTAGCTTAGTCTGAAATCTCCAGATTATAAATATCAATACAAGAATTAGCAAAGAAATCACTGAAATAGAATCGCAAAATTTGTAACCTTTTAACAGATCATAAAATGCTACCGAATCATAAATCAAACAAACTATCTTTGAATGGATGCTATCGAGATTTTTCGGTAGAAATATAATACAGGTATCTGCGTAAAAAGAAAGATTTCTCGTGGGTGTTTCAAATTCTAGACTATGTCTAGAATCAGGAAGACGTATTATTCATAACAGATCGATCGACTGTTAACTTTCTTTCTCACTGACGTATTGTCTAAAATCAAAAAGCGAAAAAAAAAAGCACAATGGTAACAATTATTTACAAACTTTATTTAAAACTGAAAACAACATTCATGAAATTTAGTGAAATCATCTGAATACAAGATTTGTTTTGGTCATCGAATTTATTTTAAACGAAATCCGTCTACAAAATAAGCAATAATAATACGTCTTTTTGATTCTAGGCATTATTTTTTCATCTGTTTTTTGGGTTTTTTTTTCGTTTCTTTGTTGGGGATATCGAAAAACATTTTTTTTCTTATTTCTTGAACAGATGGGATAAAGTTCTGATAATGGCATGAATAAACATCGAAATAGTCGACGAAATCAAACCAACGCAACTCATGCCATTTAATGATAG